GGCTTATTTGTGTCTCCGGGCTTGGTGCCATTTCCTTAAATAAACCTCTGCTTTCTTTGCTGCAACCTCCTGTTCGGGTCTCATTTGGCTTTGATACACACAGGCAAAACAAACCCCTTGATTTCGGTAAGAACCCTTTGAGTTACTTTATACCTGTTTCTTAGCTTCTCCAATATTGTTACTTGGCCTACAGAGATGTCTGAGATGATTCTGTCACAGTATGACCCCTCCCCCATGCTCAGACATCGCTGTGTATATATGTATAAGCAATGCTGTAAACACACGTTTTAAAGGGATAAAATCACCTGAAAGTAAACTGTACTGCTAGAGAAAGCTAGCTGCTGAGCTCAACCAAAACTTTCCATCATTAGAGCACAGGGTAGTAGTTTTTAATATTTGAGCTTTAACTTGCAATAGTTTAATTTCTTACATAAATAATTACTGAAATTCTCAGGCTAAGATCATAAAATACAAACTTTAATAAAAATAAATTTAGACCATTGTCAGCGATTCGCTGTAAAACAATTTAAGAAATCTGCCTAATATAAAAATTAAAAAAAACAAGAACCTACCAACCATTAAATCCTATATAGAGATCCAAGTCAATCAAAGCAGCTGCTGCTTCCTTGGTACCATCGAATGAATGCACCTAAGGATATACGGATATGATTTTATTATAATTACTCTTTAAAATTCTAAATAACATTAATAAGATTTTCTAAGCAAAAATACAGAAGCATTAGGGTTTCTGGACCACAAGTTTTCAAATGTGGTGGACCCTAGAATTTTTATTTTCAAATCATTTTCACAATTAAAATCTCCAAAGATACAATGCAAGAAGGAATTAGTTGCCTGCCTAAAATGTTTGTCTTGGTGGCGGGACACCTCTGCACCAGCACTACTGCAGGTATACATCACAGGATGTCTTTTTAGGGTGGGGCTGGAGTCAGGGGCCACATTCTTAGGCAACACATGAGAAGTTAGAAATGCTACAAAACTATTTAAAATATATTTTTAAATGTTCAATTTTTCTGTTAGAGGATACTTTTTACTAGAAGAGAAATTACTTTTAAGAGGGGAATTTTAAGACGATTTATAAAAAGGTTGGGAGAATGTTGCTAAAACAATGTAAATTGTTATAGTCAATAATATCATTTCAGCAGGCAAAAAAAAAATTGAGATGTTCTTCTCCTTCAAAGACATAGGGTTAAGGCACAGTTTTCAGTTTGGATGTATTTATGCAATCAAAGCCAATATGTAACGATAATCCTCTTTGAAGACACAAAACAGTAATGTCACATTGAGTCCAAAGAGTCTGACTACACTAAGGATAACGTGTTTCTCAACAAGAAAGAAAACCGTATTTTATTACAAAGCTGCCCCAAAGGGTTTATTTTTTCTTTCAGCATTTCCAGCTGACTAGAAAACATGGCCTCCAACAATGTCAAAATAGTTTTAAATGTGACTCCTCATAAACCATTTCATAAAATTAGTTATTCTGTATTTGGCACTCTTCTTAATAAAAGTCAAACATTTAAGTTGGATTTGTTGTTGCTGTTGTTAATTTTTTAAAACTATTACAGAATCATCCAAGTATATATTTTTTTTAGAAATAAAGCAAATGGGCCGAGAGGTAGAGCCTGAAGGTTCTAAGTGCCACCAGTAACCCAAGGGCATTAATGAAAGCCGCTCTCAATTCTCAAGAACTGTTCCTAAAGGATGAATTATAGGGTCAGGAAACTACAGATAAAAATATGCACAGTAACATTAACCCCACAGCATGCAGAAAACATGCACATCATTAGCAAATATGAAACATGAGGCAGAGGCTAAAAATTGAGAATATATATGAAACTGTCAAAGCAACGCAGTATGGATATGTAATTAGCGCATGGTGCTTTTCCTCTCCTTAGCTGGCATAGTATAAGCATGTGGTTTTACATACCTAGACAATAGTGGGTTTTTTTGTTTTTTTGGCTGGAAACCAGTGAATCTCTCCTGAAATTATGTATGAAAATTTATATTATCTGACCACTTTTCTGAGGCAGATTTTCAAAGGAGTCCATGATCCAAAAAAGATGAAAAATCACTGCTCTAGATACCTGAGTTAAGTAGTAGGCAGGTAATCCTTATGAGAAATGTCTCAAGACCAATGACTGAAATGACTATACAGAGGAAGTGTTTAGCGCATAAGCAAATTAGAGAAAAGGAAAATGACTCTCTAGATCAGAGTGATAATGAATACAGTTCACAAGAAATGAAGACGGCAAACCTGAAATGAATGTTAAAATATTTTAAAATATTAAAACTACATTTTGTACGAATTTAAGAATGGCTGATAGAAGAGGCAGAGAAATAATTTCATACTGGCAAAATGTACATTCAGGGGTTTTCTTATGAACAGAATTCTGTACTCATTCCTATATTCTGAACAAAGTAACTGCAATTAAAATAGTGTGATTTATGTTTGTACCACATCTGGCCTACAGATTCAACAGTAAATAAATTCACATGTCCTTCAAATAATGAGAAGAACCTTAATAATTCTATTGCTGACATTTGAATTAATTTATAGGCAAACCATAATAACCAAGATGCTTTTGTGCAGCATATATTAAAAACAACTTTTATACTTACTACTCCGCCTACAAACCGATCTCTGTTTCTTTTCATTATGTCTGTGAATTAAAAACAAAGAACTTTTAACAAATAGCTTGATTTTGGCAAAACTCCTAATTCTAAATATTTTAACTTTAACTTACCCAAAAATTCAGCATGTGCATTTCGACAATGAAGAAACATTGGTAATTTTGTTTGTTCTGACAGTTCAAACTGTTTTTCAAAATATCTGCATAATGCAAAAATAAGATTTCTGTGTTAAAATTTTTATCTTCGCGTGAGAAAAATATTATGCCAAATGATTTTTTTTAAAGGAATTTTATTCTCTAGATATTATAGGACATAAATAGTAAATTCAGACATTTAAAAATACATTAGGTTTAGCTGAAGGCTTTTATAATGCACAATGTCTGGAAAGGGATACTTCATTTTTGAGGATTACAGAATTATTCTGAAATGTTTTTTGTTTTGACGTACTGGGTAAATTAGGTAGCGCTTTACTGCTGATCGCTGGAGGAGCTATTGTTGCAGGAAGCGACACCCGACAGGGGAACCTGGATGCTCAGACAACTCCTTTAGAGGAAGGAATTTATGGACGGCCGAGAGTGTCAATAGACCCAAAGCACCATCTTCCCTTGGTTAGATTCTTAACAGCTTATGTACCCTCGCAGTGTCCATGCAAGGGGAGCGTGTTTCCTTTGTCTGAGGTCTCACGTGTGCCTCATGATTCAGGATGGGAGGGGGAGCTTCGGGTTGGGGGCTGTAAAGGGGAATTTCCAGACCACTGGTCTTACAGGTCATCTGTCCTGCGACCTTGACATTATCAGCATTGATTCTCAAACAGAGAGATGGGACATTGAGGCTATAAGTAGGAAGCAACACTTATCAAGGCCAGCACCTGCTCGGCGGATTCCTATCCAAAGGCTAAGCCTCGATTGTAACAAGCAGTTTTACACAGTCTTGTTATTCCTACAGCTACAGAGATAAGGAAGGACATTATTAGTTGGTTGGCAAGCCATGAATCAACAGATGTGAGCTGGAGAGTCCTTGAGGTGGGGGAGGTAGCTGTGGGAAAACATGTTAGCTGGAGAGTCCTGGAAGCGGGGAGAGGCCAGTTAGGAATGGGCTTTAACTGGCTGAGTTGGTCATTCCTGTAAGCCTTTTCCTTTGCATTTTTTAGATGCCTCTTTTCCTCCCTTACTATCGGGTATAAGTGTAGCGGTACGGGGGAATCTCCTCTAATTATGCTTAACTAGTTTTCCAACCAAATCCCAGCAAACGAAGCAGACCCCCTCCATAAGCTGTGGGGCCACTCCTCTGCCACCTGTGTTGGTGGTGCAAAATACGCAGCCAGCGCCTTGCCTTGAGAGCTGGCTGGGTACCATCAGTAGGTGACAACTCAGTCAGAGGCCAGGCAGAGTTTTATACTCAGTGTTTTCTCTGTGCTGTTGTACGAGAAATTACTACCACCGAGCAAGAAGGATTCCTTAAAAACAATACAGTGAGCACAAAAATGGAAATACTCTATTTTCAGAAAAACAAAAATTACATGATAGAATGGCAGCCCTGAATATTTTAGAATACTTTTATAGAAAGGTTTTTCAAATGCCACATGCCATTATCTCATCTGATCCTCAAAATAATCCTAGCAAGGCACAAGAGCTGGTGTCAGGGGTGGTAGGACCTTATCCAAGATCATGACACACATGGCAAACAAGGAACCAGAACTTCAGTGGTCTAATTCCCAGTCCCAGCCAACATGACCGAAAGCTGTGGCATTTCAGACTCGTCCTGGTCCCACAGAACGATGACAACATCCAGAGGATATACTGGGGTGGGGGGTCTGCACGTTTGTCTGTTTCTCATTGTAATGGTGCTCCTCGTTCTTATTGAGGGTCAAGTAGTTTTCAGTGAAACCAGGAGTTACAGACAAAAGGTGTCTTGTTTTCTAAGGGATTTACCTCTTCTAGGCCCCTTAATTTGGGGGAACAATTTCTGTATTTAACTTAAATCTCTTTTGCAATATTTTCCTGTATCTTGTCACCTGAAGTGCAGAACAGCTATTCTCCTGGTGTGCTGCCCTGCACTCCTGAAAATGCTAAATGTTAAAACCAGAAAGAGAAATACACTTCTTAAAGAAATAGTCTTCCTAAAATTGGTGGTCTGTCTGTATCACCCAATGTTCAGGATTTTATTTTTTATTTTTTAAAAATGTTAAATTAATAAAATTTTTTTAAAACCAGAAAGAGAAATACACTTCTTAAAGAAACAGTCTTCTTTTTTTAAGTTTGTCGGGATAACATTGGTTAATACAATTATATAATTTTCAGGTGTACATTATAATTTGACATCTGTATATTCTATTGTGTGTTCACCACCCCAATGTTCAGGTTTTTAAAGCACCTTTTCAGATTCTGCTGGGCTACAATAAGCAAAAATGTTTTTAGTTAAAGTGCTGAAATTTCATAGTGTAAGAAATAAGCTAACATTTGGAAGAAAAAAAATTTTAATCATTATTACTAGTTACTACTTCCATAACCTCTAAATTCAAATGTCAGAAAGTGAATGTGCTCAGCCATTATCTAAACTTTACTATGTCTCTGGCTTCTGACTGCACAGAGCCGGCAGTATTCTCCACGTTCCGTGTTCTCCCCTCTAAACTGAAAATTTTTTTCATGGCACGATTTTATGTATGAAGCCACATGACCAAGCTGCATTTACAGAATCTAATGACCAGCTTGGAAACTGGCCTGCTGTCGCAGAGCAGGCAAAAGTACAATTTATGAAAATAACAGATGCTCAAGGGACGCGTCTACAGAATTTGGAAAGAAAGGCCCATGTGCTCAAGCTAGACAGGAAGCCGTGTGCTGAAAAATGATTCCTTAGGATTCAAACAGCGGCCAACTGGTGCTTAACGCCAAATGACTATTGTCTTTAAAGGAAAAAAAAACCCACCATGGTAGCTAGAAATAACGTAAGTTAAAGGGCAGGAACTGGCACCTATTAAGGGACTTCTCTGCTTTTAATTATGACTTTTTTAGTTCATAAATGAAAATCACTGAGTTACATTTGCTCATTTTAGCAAGAGTGTAACTTGCTTCTGATTGCATTACTGCATCTTACATTTTAGGATTAACAATAACTAAGGAAAGTTCAACTTCGGAGTAGCAGCTTTTATTAATTAGAACTGAGGCAAATCCAAGAGCCACTGCGTTGCAGCAGTACACCTTAACCCATGGGGGTAGTCCCTCCTCTAATCTGCCTGATGACAAGGACTGCCTCAGTCTCTCATCTCTGAGGTTCCCTAAGTCCTCAAATGACTGCTTTGAAATTGTCTGATGTCTAATTAAAAAAAAAAAAAAGGCCAGCATGTATTAACATTTTGAAACTCCAAGAAAACTGTCCAAAGCAAATTCCTGCTACTCAGAGTGAACAGTGCAGCACAGGGCAGAGGACCTGAAGACACAGCATGCGCCTATAGGATCCGGTACGCTTTCTGTCACTAAATCAGGCCTTTTCCTGGCTTTCATGCCTTGCTTTTCCTTTTGCTCTTTAAAAAACACTTTTCAGAAACATCAAACAAAACCTATAGCCAGTATTTTCCTTTAAGATGGCACTATTTCTAAGACTAATAGCCACAATTTATTGAGCATTTATTCCGTGCCAGTCATGGCGCTAATGGGCTTTCTACATCAAATTTATTGAGCACTTATTCCGTGCCAGTCATGGCGCTAATGGGCTTTCTACATCAAATGTTAAAAAAAAGGTAGGCGGCATCATCCCCATTTTAAAGGAGGAATGATTCGTGTATGAATGCATTTTTATTAAGCAAACCAAAAACAACGAAGAAAGTCTTTTGTAAAACTCATCCATTATTTCTATCATTAAAATCAAATTAGATGGTTAATCAAGCAGGGAACTGTATGTTTCTACTCTTTATGAATTACATGCAAGACTACATGGACTCTGACTCACTTAACTCTTGATACACAAAAGAAAACAAAAAATCCTGATGCTTAACCCAACTATATTCTGAACAGATAATAGCTATTTAAAAAACCACTCTTAAGATTTTACAATAAATTCTAAAGTCAACAAATCTCCTTACTTGAGCTGAGTATCCTTGGGACAAAACTGTAGTCGGTCAAAATCTTTAAAAGATAAAAAAGAATCAGTTACTAGTCATGACTTGTGTAGAACACATCAGTCATTTTCACGCTCACCCTAACAGGGCGAGGTTGGCACTTACCAAGCCCACACTCCCCTATCGCTACAACTTTCCCCCTGTTGTTTTCAGCAAGATTTAGCAACTCCAGTAAGTAAAGATCAGGACTGTTCTTTTCAAATTCATCACATCTTGTAGGATGACATCCAACTGTACTGAAAAACATATCTAACACAAAATGATGTCAGGATTATTTTCAAAGTAGTTTTCATATATATATTTAATATGCAATGAGAATATCAACTAATTTAACTGGTTAACTTTTAACAAGAGCCAAAAACTATTTGAACTACCAGAACTGCATTAGGTTCATTACATAAGAATTTTTGGAATATCTTAACAAAATAGGACATGAAGATAAAAATTGCCTTAGTGTACTGATAAAAATAATTACTGCAACTGTTTCCAAAGCTTTTTACTGAGCCTCACAGAATGGAAAATAAAACAATTTCTTATAGAATGAAATGTCATATCCTAATTTTCTTTTATATTCACTGTTCACGTGGCTGTCTTATTTCATGTACTTAATATAAGTTAAAATGTATTTCCCTTAAAAAAGGTGACTTAAAGATGTGGAAGGGAGGTTTTGTTTTTCTAATAAAAAAGAAAGCTTGCTTATTTGGAGGCCATACTTTGATAACTTTTATTGTATGGAACACAATGTGAAAGTAAAAAGGCCTTCTGAGTGGCTCAAGGTACTACTTGTACCTGAACCCAAGACAGAGGTGTGGAGCCTTCCTTGGGCAGATGTTTACATATAAAGAGAGGCAGAGCTGTTAAAGCAGAGAGGACACAGCTACATGGAGGAGTGGAAGAGGGCTGACATTGGAGATCCTAGAGCTTTTAAAAACATACTTGTTTGGGGATAAAAAATATGGAAGATAGTATTCTTACACAACAAGGATTTCTTTTATGACCTTAATCACTAAGAAAAAGCATCAGTGGATCTTGAAGAGATTTCCATAAAAAAACAGCTTTAAATAAATCAGTATTTTGAAAAATAATGTGGAATGCCTAATTCTTCAGTGTCTAACAGATGAAGCATCCCTCCTCCCCACAACAAGAAGGGTTAAGTTAATGAATGCCAGATAAAGGAGGTGTTTTATATAATTCAGATTCCTTTAGGAACCAATTCCAGAATTATATATTTTAAATTGATGCAGAATGTATGGACATAAAGTAAGCATATGAGAGATCATGTAATATATTATTACTTGCATCTCTGGGCCTTACAGAGTGTTTGGTCTGCATAATATTTAGTAAATGATTTTTCACAGCTTAAGTTAAAAAAGAGCAAATAAAAAGCAACTCATATCTTAAACATATTACAATATACACACAAAACTTCTACATCAAGAATATCTGAGGTTAAATTATATAGCTGGTGACCTTAATTTTCATTAACTGAAATCTTAAAATAATCTTTACTAAGTGCAATGAGAGAGTTTTATCAAGCATCTGATATTGGTAAATGGGCACTCTGAATTTTTTCACCTTAATCGTGTCCCTCTGAAATCAGTCTATTTTCCCATTGTTTTTACAGTCATGATCCATTGTATTGTACCTGAAGCAGTTTTCAGAAAGACTTCTTCAAAATAACTTAATTCATATTTTTGGGGGGGAAAAGTAATAGGAGGATACCATTTGTTTGTGCCAAATGCAGTGCATCTTTACTGTCTTGTAGATTTCCGCCTGTAATCATAAACTGAAATAGAAAGAAATAAAGTAAGCCCCCTTTAACAGGGCATCAACAACAATTTCCAAAATGCCTTTCATCTGCCTTTTTCCAGAATGGTTTTCTTAGACTGACACACACCTACCTTTCCTTTAAACTTCAGCTGAAAGATCAACTCCTCTGCAGAGTGGTCTCTGTCTGCTCTCCACACGCACGTGCAGACTCACAAAACACAGAACCTGTCACTCCTTCCTATTAAATGTATTCACATCTGTCTTTCCTAGTAGATTGTGAGTTCCTTGAGGACAGGGGATCACACTGCTTGAGAAATGTTGCAAAAGTCTGAATAACTAAGGATTGCAGAATTTTAGAATTCTGTTCATCTAAATCAGTGATTCAGTAGTGTTGATTATTTCAACAATTCTCCAAGTGTGGTGCCAGACCCCCAGGGGATACAGAAGATCAAAATTATTTTCATAATAATACTAAGATGCTAGCTGTCTTTTTTACTGTCATTGGTCATGTCACGCATGTGCAGTGAGGTATTCCAGAGGCTACATGATGTGTATCGCACCAGAATGGCTGCAGAAACACTCATTGAAGTTGTCTTCTATTAAGCCAGACATTAAAGAGAAGTAAAAAAAAAGTAAAACAATTCCACTCATGTCACTAATTTCTTTTGGTTTGGAAAAATGCTTATTTTTCACAAAAATAGGCTACTTATGTTAATATACTGGTTTTCTGTTATCTTAGAATAAATTAGTAAATATTTAAAAATTTTGTTTTAATTTCTGGTACAGTATATATCAACAGATAAAAACATATAAAACAAAAGCTTTTTAGGGTCCTCAATAATATTAACAAATATGAAGGGGTTCTAAGAGTTTGAGAATCCCTGGGTTAATGTGTATTGATGAATTCTTTGTAGAGAAATATATGGCTCCTGGTGAAGAAGCATACTTCTACATAGACGGCCACTAGAGTCCACTGGCAGTGAGAACACTGTCTTTTCTATTATGTTAAAAGGAAAATGGCACTAAAGAACTATGTGTTGATGGCGACTGCTGAGGCATTGCTGCCTAAGTGCACATTCTTCTAAAAAAGTGATTTAAGCTCAAAGATGTATAATTTCAAAAGCACAATTCTAGAATATCACTGAGCTAAAATCTCACTGAGCTTAGAATCTCTCTAGGTGCACACCTAACGAGAAAACATACGAAACATAGCAGGAAGTACAAATGACGAACAGATATTTTATCTTTTTTTTTTCAGATATTTTCATATAGCAACTTAAACTTCTAATATGAGAGAAGATGAGTATCTACTCAGGGAACGCAAAGCCATAATTAAATCCTTGTAAATTAATTCTTGTAAAATACAGGATATAAGATATTAACAAAAATACTGAAGAAATCTTATTGTTTACTAATACCACGTAACTCTTTAATACACGACTAGGTATCCACATTCAGTATTTCAATTATGTAAAATAGTTTCTCATCAAGTTCACCTTTTATTTTAGCTGTAACTTTTCCAAATAGATGAAAAAGTTAAGGTCAAGACTAGAGGACATAATTTCCTCCCAGTTTACAATGCTGCTGCTGCTGCTGGCAGCTTCCGCCATAAACTTAAAGGCTGTTTACTTTCTGCCTAATACCAAGTGCTTTGCATTCCATATTTTACTTAACCTTCACATCAACTCTATTCATTGAGTACTGTTATCATTCTCCCATGTATGGAGGAGAAAACCAAAGTCTAGAGATGATGCACCCCAGGTTACAAAGCTATGAAGAATGAAGCTGGGGTTGGAAGCTAGGCCTGTGATGCCATAACCTGGCTTCCAACCACTGCGATTAACTGCAAGACATTGAATTAAATTTCGATTTGGAACCATGACCAAGTAAACGTCACCCTAGTCCTGTCATTCCTAAGTCCATATGTGTGAGTGATTAGAAATGTTGAGATTAAACTATTCACGGCTAATACATGAAAATTTAGGGGCTTGGTATTTCAAAGTTTGCACAAAAGCATTTCATAAAGTGACATAACAAGCTGAGAATGGCCACACAATGAAAAATTAATGTTGTGACTTTTATCCTGTATTACAATAACGTACAAGAGTTGGGGACTGCAGAATTCATTTAGTTAGCAGTATCATTTTTAAAATGGAAGTTATTCAACTTAGAAGCAGTGGCCTCCAAGTGTCCTGATACCACACTATGGAGTTTAACTTTATTTCTTGTGTACATGGGTGTGCTAACTTGCTATTTTTTTAAAATGCTAATTTTTACAAATATCTATTCAAAGAACTTGACACTGGGCTAATATTCATTGCCTTAGAACTCTTTAAAAAGGAGTAGGAATTTTCCTGATGATCAAATTATTACTGTAAAAATTAAAATGTCCTCTGTTATTTGGAACAGTATACCCATACTATGAAAACTAGACTGGTGACAGATCCGTGTTTTGATGATTGCTTAATTCTGATAAGTGCTAAAGTATGTTATAAAATGCATAGACAGTTGCCTTTTCAGAAGTCCGGTAATTCAGATAGGTTTAAAATTTTTTTCAAAGAGACTTTGCCATTTATAACATTTCTGATCATATGAGAGGACTGCCCATGAGGTTAAACTGCTGTGAACAGAACATGCTGACATATTTTACTTCATTAACTTGCTAATACATATATTGACAATATAGTCTCAAAAATTACCAATTGTGGCACTGGCTCTTTTCCTTCTATTCTGTAGTATTTTAACCATAATGTCGTTTTTATTTTTTTAATCTCAAGAGTAACAAAAACTAGATGTTACCTTTTTAACACCAATCTGGACAGCTCTCTGTATTACATCCTGTAAGTCATCTGTAAAAGATGAACTCTGCAGTAAGAAAACCTGATAAATAAAAATCCATTTATCTATAGAGTCACATTTACAAAATCAAAACCAAATCAATACCATTTAATGAGTACCTTCTCATAAGAACAGAGCTAGTGATAACCTTTAAAAAAAGGGGGCGGGGGTTACCTGTATATGGCAAACTAGATGAATAGCTACCTTTTCATTGTATTTTTATTCTGCTGACCCAGAGAGAGAAAAGTGACAAAAATCAGGAGTTTCAAACTAAAGATGAATTCACTCACTATAATTAAATCACCTGCCTTGAATTTCAAACTTGTTGGTATTGTATTTTTTTAATAAAAATAAAAGATAATCATTATTTTTATTAGGGTTATTCAGAGTACACCTGCGATGCCTTCCAAAACACGATATAACATCTACCTGTAAATTTTAAGGTTGTATTTCTATAATTACTACTACTATTTGAGGGAGGATAATTGCCTTGACAGTTGTTTTTTGCTTTTTCCCAAAACTCATTGTTAAGTAATAATAAACTTTTCTGGGAAAGATCAACAGTAATTACTAAGCTCTGAGAGGCCTGAGATAAAGGGATTGAAATATTAAAGTTTTATCATAAATCTATTTCTTAATTTCATATTTAAGCATCACAGTACATGTGATTGGAATTCAATTACTGTTACTTCTAGAGTAGCTTAAAATTTATTTTAGACAAAAAATATCAACTTAGTGAACTTATACTAAGTAGGGCAACCAGTTTTGCTAGTTATTATAAACTAGAGTAATACTAATATTGATCATTATGAAACATTTCATAAACACACATATACAAACATACACACATACACATATGGAGTCACAAAGTATGATATCTATTAAGTGCTACACAGGCGAGAAGGGCAGAATGTGATTTATTCAGTAATTTAACTGTACTATATAAGTAACAGAGACTTCATCTAAACTTCTAAATGAAGTCAAAAAGGTAAGTTTTGAGGTAAGGCTTATGAAAACTAATGTTTACCTTTCTTCATCTATCATTCCCTATATTTAGAGCTTTCACTTAGTATCGCCTAGAGATACAATAAGATTAGCTTCTGACTGAGCTTGCTGAAATGTGCAGCTCCACATCATCTGGAACCACAGAACCAAGTTTTCCTATTTGCATTTACATAATAACAAGTATAGAACTTTCCTGAAGCAATATTCACAGGCTAGTTTACTAGAGAACCTCTGCTTTCAAAAACTTGTCACCATCATTTCCTGCTTACTCACTTAGCTGACATAATACGCCTTTAAAATGAACTTGATATGATAAATATGTCATTCTGCTTTTGGCTAAGCTTTCCATCAATCTTTGAGGTACTACCCTTCCCACCTACACTGTAGCTATCTAGGATCTCGTAGGTCTCGGCTGGAAAGGGGGGAAGGCAAGAGAGGGAAGGTGGACTGCAGAGCACCACCTCCTGAATCACACTGCCACTGAGTCACCCAGCTGAAAACGTTTTAAAAACTAGACCTTATACTGATGCTCGACTGTACTTAATTTTTTAATTATGGGCCCTACTGTTCAACTGCTTAAAAGACTAAATATCAACTAAATTTGGCTTTTGTGCACCTGGTTATTTAAAGTTCTACATTCAAAATTGTAAACCTCTACGGATAAGAAGGGCATGACTAACACTTTGTTATAATTGGTGCTTTACAAATGCTCATGATCACAGTTTACCAAAATAGCTTATATGTGTTTCACTTTGTTTATGGTTTTATCCAAGATGCATAAGTCCTTTAATATTTCAATTGTAAAAGTGGATTATGCTTTTTGAGATCTTCTTGAGGCAGACAATCTATCATCATAGAGAAATTATTTACCTTAATAAAAGAAACATTTACCTTGATGCTTTTGAACCCCCCTATAAATTCCTCTGAACACAGGATCTGTCAAGTTAATACCAATATCTGTAGAAAGCAAAAATAGAATGATCAGTCATTAAGAGGCTCTATTTGAAACTTCTACTTTAAATAAAAGCTCATGGTACTAAACTTTTCAAAAAAATTCAAAGTTTATTCGTTCACTCAAACAAAATCTGCAGCTTGTCGGTTACGGTGCTAGATGCCTGGGATACAAAGATGAGTAAGAGAATCCCTGCGGTTAAGAAACTCACTGCAGATCTATGAACAATTAAGAAATATTACAAGTAGACACTGGCACTGTGGGACACAGAAGAGGAAAACCTAGAAGAGGCTTCCAGAAAGAAGGGATCCCTGAATGGAACCTTATAGGATGAGTCAGTTATCTAGTAGAAGAGGGGAAATTGCAGGCAGAGGAAGCAGCAGGAGCAAAGCATCCGGGGGTGAAATTGCATAATGATTGTTGAGAACTACAAGCCCTTCTAGCAGCTGGAGGGAAGTGTAGGAAGGGAGTGGCCAGAAAAGGCCAGACTTGGCTGCCTTACAGACACCTGTCTTCAGAATACCAGATGCAGCAAGAAGCACTGATGGCTTTTAAGAAGAGGCATAATATTTGTATTCTGGACATCTCATTCTGGAGTCTTTGTGGAGGATGAAGACGCGGACAGGAGAATAAATTATTTCCTTTATTCATCAAATACTTATGAAGATCAACTGTGTGGCAAATAGCATGTAAGGAGTTAGGAGACACAGAAATGAGTTAGACCCAATACTTGACCCTTGCCCTCCAGAAAGTTATAGTTTATACGAGAACTACAAATATAATTTATGTTATAATAAGCTAGACTGTAAGCAACGTGAAGCAAGAAATGTTTATCTTCATTGCTGTATCCCTAGAACCCAGCATAATAGTTGTGTGAACAATAATATAAATGGAGCCATTTCGAAATGGAGCTACCATCCCAGAGGATCTGCCTTGCACATCTTATTACTCAAACCTTTGGAATGTTTCAACCGGACTAAATAAGCTTTGGGGGCGAGGCAAACAACACTGTATTCCAAACTGTTGACAAAGCTATCAGGAAAGCAGACATTCTGACTATCAGACTGAAAATTAGACATTCTTTAGAATTATCCCCACTATGTATAGCTAAAGAATAATTTAGCTTGTTTATACCTATAGAAATTCCTTCCTTTTATTCATGTAATTATTCCCCTTCTCTTTCTCATAAATACCCTTTGCCTTCACCTCCTAATCGGAGCAGTATTTGGGTTTCTGCCTGAATCAGTGCTTCCCAGAATTGCAATTCTTTCTGATCTCAAATAAATGTTTGTTGCCTCTCACCTTGCCTTTTTATTTTGAGGTTAACAGCACACAGTGGGTGCTCTATACACATTAAGTCTGTCAGTAATTATTATGTGCATGGGAGCACAAAGAGGGAGCAGTGTGATGAGAAAAGCTTCACAAAAGAGGAAGACCTTGAAAGCCAAAGCTGACAAATGGAAAGGGCGTTCTGCATACAGACGTGTGTTGGTATGTACAGTATCTAGAAGACTGGAAGGAATTCACTGAGCCTGTAGAACAGTGGTTCTCAGTGGAGAGCAATTTTGCAGCCCCTATATTCTTCTAACGCCCCTCCTCCCCCACATTTAGCAGTACTTATATTCATTTGTAGCTGGCACAACTGAGGGGGAGTGCTATGAGCATCTGGGCTCGAGGCCATGGATGCTGCTAAATATCCTACAATGCACAGGACAGCCTCTCACAGCAAAGAATTACCCAACCGAAAATATCAGATGCCGATCTCAATAAGTCAGATTGTGATGGCCATGCGCAATAAAATATACACCCTTTAGCACTGGTGAACTTGAAGAATCTCCAAGGTCATGGTGGTGGGAGCAGATGCCTACCAATAGACCCCTACATTATTTCTGTTGAGTTCAGCTTCTTCTTAGTACATTTTCACGCTGATTTCTACCAAGCTGGCCCTCAGTGAGCTCTGCTGCGTCAACATTAAGACAGACCTTACAAGATGAATGGGAGTATGAATAATTCAAGAAATGGTGGGAAGAGTATTAAGAGGCATTTGAAACAGCAAGAGAAAGGCATAATGCAGAAAAGATCGAAGCTATTTGGGCAACGTTTATATGTCAATGGAAGGTGTGATATGACTTCACAATTGTACCCTTTAAAGGACTGTTAACACACAAATATCATCAAATACTGTAAATACAACATAGGAGTTCAGTGGAACGGCCCAAATCACAAGAAATCAGCATCTACTTTCCTTCTATAAGGCAAGGAAATTAGATAGAGAAGGGAGCTGTCTGAGAATGGAAATCCAAGGAAGAGGGGGAAGCCTTTCTCCCTAGACAAATCCTTCACAGGATCAGTCTAGTCATCCACCACTGGCCTTCCTTAGGAGCAGAGAGAAGGTCTGCATCTCTTCTGCCCACTTCTCCTTTGTGCAGCAAAGGGATTAGATTTTTTCCAAAGCAATCTTTTCCTAAGATACAAAGCGAAAAACAAGTGAAACAGAAAAGCAAGCACATGCTGGTTATTTTGAGCTGAAGTCACTTGAGAAATAGCAGGTGCAGGAAAGGCTCTCTGATCTCCCCCTTTGTACCAAAAAGCATGTTACAAAATTTCCCACAAGAAAGGTACCCTCCCTGTGCCAGAAAGAGAACAGTCTTATCACCAGGGACTGAAACTCAAGTCAAAATGACTATACAAACTCAAAATGACCCTTACTTTCCATTAGTTTCCCCTTATATTTCCTAGTCACTGTCCCATTATATACACAATTTAAGCTCCTTTTCTTACCACATCCACACTTAAGCTTTTGGGCCTAACAGTTTCCTCGGGGGTCTTCATTTTCCTTTTTGAAGACTCCCATGTACACATATACAAAATAAGATTCATATGCTTTTCTCCTGTTAATCTGTCTTACATCAGTTTAATTCTTAGGCCCAGGCCACAGAACCTAAAAAGCAGAAGTTTTGCCTCCCCTACAGAGGCAAATTCCATCTTTTTCTGGACTCTGACTCACTTCTGTTTCTTCTAAGAAGTTCTCCTTGATACTGGATGGCCTCTGTGTCTCCCACTCCCCACTCATCTAGTCACCAGCAATCACCTGCAGGGTGATTAAGATAATTAACAATATAGAAGGGCCAAAGAAAGTTCAAAATGATCCTCTAAAAATATTCAACCTGTGAGCAAGTTCCAAGAAATACAATACAATGGGGGAACTGCAGTCAGTAAAAAAATGGGCTTTGGAGTCATAATTTCTGGCATTCTGACTAATTAGCTGAATGACCTTGGGCAAATCAGTAGGCTTTCTGAGCTTCTTTTCTCACTAGTAGGGTAGACATAAATTTCTCACTAGTAGGGTAGGATGAAATGTGCCTCAAATTGTAAAATGAATGTGAAAGCATTTTGCAAATTAAAAACCTTATAAAATGTAATCATTATTATTACTGAGCATAGTACAAATTCTGTAACATGCCAACAATGAATGGAATTTTAGTCAACATTAGCATACAGGCATACCTCATTTTATTGTGCCTCACAGATGTTGCATGTTTTACCAACCGAAGGCAAGACTCTCCACCAGAAAAAGATTACGACTCGCTTTATTGCGCCGGTCTCAAACCAAATCCACAATATTTCTGAGGATGCCTATCAGAAATATTGTCATACACCTTAAATGGTTAACACTTCCAATTCAAGACTGCATTATTAAGTAGACAAATGTAAGCCTATCTGTTTATACTTAAAGATTCATGCTGCAACCGCAAAAAAGGCTAGTCACAATCCTATTTAACTTGTTCAAAATGTTCTGATCAATAAGGGATAGTATCTTTTAAATTTAAAAGTTTCTATCAGAAGTATGTCTATTAGCAAGAAACTCAAAAAAAAAGTAAAGAAATACTGTATAAAAATCAATTTCTATCCAGCTCCAGCCAAAAACAATAAACAACTCAAAAAACTAAGAAAGTGAGAGAGAGAAGGGACAGTGACGAGAAGAAAAAAAAGAGCAAAATAGAAAATTACTACTTCTGATTATGGGGGAAATTTGAGGGATTCATGTATTTAGTGACACGTCACCTTATACGGATCAGTAATATTTCTTTTCTATTCATTTTTTTCTTTAATTAGCTGGCTTTAAAAGCAGTACTAGCTTTACTGTTAAAAATTACTTCCAGTATTAATGAGGTTTATTTTTCAAAACAAAATAAGTGGAAAAAGGTTTGCAACCAAAAGAAAACCGCATCTCCGAACTGATACCTCACTGTTTGGACTCAGAGAATCATGACATATCACTGTCACCTATAAGCTAAGAATACGAAACAAAGGCGCAGCTGTGACAGCCTGCTGAAATGTGAAAAGGTTAAAGGATAATTAAAACCTGAAACTGGACGAAGGAAGTCTATACCTTAGGCCTAGTTTCTGGAACCCCTAATCGCATTGTTAATCACGAAACTTGTAACATTGAGCTCATACGCTAACTGCCAATTTTAGCCTGTGTAACCCTGCTTGCTTGCATGGCATGAAAAATAATCAATTGTATAGAAGCTGAAAATTACTGTTTGGCCATCGCCCATGGGAACACTGGCTATTGCCCATGGGAACACAGGCGATCACCCATAGGAACATAACATTCTAACAACAAGCTTTCTGCTTCTGTACTCCCCGCTTGCACACCTGACCAGTGGGTTGACAGGTAGTGAATAGGAGAGAAATAGACTTTTGTGTTTAAGACAGAATGAAGAATGGGATATAGGGCTTAAAAACCTTGTATCTTGGCATTTCGGGGCTGCTCCTTTGTACAGGACAGCTGCCGGCTAATAAACAGCCTTTGAGAGCATACTTGGTTTGGTCAATTCTATACAGGCCACAACACAGCAACTAGGAGATTTAAAATCGTTTTATACTTGCTTAGCTTTCAGATATAACTTCAAGTTTACAAGGAATACAGGAGATTAGAGAACATGCTAGACACCACCACATAGCAAACAAATTCAGAATAAGACTTCTGTGGGACAACTAGCCAAGAAGCTCCGCTCTATACACAGTAAAACTAAGCTCGGCAACACATTCAAGTTTCAGTCCTAGCTCTCACAATGTCCTCCGAGTTTTCCTAAGTACCCGGTAGTATATATTCTCACCACTTTCGTTCCTGTGGCCAAACCCATCATCCTCTCGGCCACGGAGAGGGAAAGGGGAGGAAGGTGCACGTGGGATGGAGGGAAATACGGTGACTGGCTTTTTTGTGTTAGTTTTGCTTCCTTGTTTTATTTTTAATGAATCAATGCATACAATCCTTATTACAATGTTATAAGGAGCATAAGTCATAACCATACCGCTCGTGAATTTTCAGATAAGCACACCCTTGAAGCCAGTACCTATACCGAGAACCAGAACATTACCGGCGCTCCCTTTCACTGAGAGCCCCTCCAACCTTCGAAAAGCCGGAGAGCTCGTGCTGGGCCTTCAGGCCGCGGCGAGCGACGCCCGGGAGACGGCAGAAAAGCTCAAGGATCAGGAAAGCACTCTACTTACCTACAAACTTGAAGGCACTCATGGCTGCAACCGCAGACCCTTCCCGGCGGAAGCGGAAGTGGCCGCTGGCCCGCCCCCCAGCTTCCGGCTTCCCGTTTCCCGGGAGCCCTCGCGGCCGCTGAGGGTGAGCGGGCCGTCATGGCGGTGTCGGCCTCCGCCGCCTACCTGACCCATCAGCAGAAGGTGTTGCGGCTTTATAAGCGAGCCCTCCGCCACCTGGAGTCGCGGTGCGTCCACAGGTGCGACAGGCGAACCCAGGGCGCGAGAGGTGATCCTGGGGAACCCCACGAAGGTTGAGAGGCCGGGGCGGACCGGGCGACTCAAGGTCTTCGGGGACGGAGTGGGAAGGTGGCCCCGGGCCCCACAGAGCCAGCGCATAGACCAGACTTAGTGGCCCATGGCTACGAGACCTTTAAGACTTGCTTCTCTGCCCTGGGCCTCAGTTCTCAGATCTAGTGGTCACTAAATAATAGCTGTCTTCATGACCTCTCCCTAATGTTAACAGTAATAATATGTGTATTTTTTTACTTTGGCCTTAACAACTACTCTAGGACTCAGGCACTATTTAGCTTTATTTTACAGATGTGGAAATAGAGGCATAGAGAGTAACTTGCCCAAGGTCCGCCACGGTAAGAGGTAGAGCAAGGATTAACTAAGTCTAAAGCATCAACATTCTTCTCATTAGCTTTCCTCTTTTTATCATCCAGTCCTTTTTACTACATTCATGTCCCGCATAAATCTTCACCTCCCACACAATTTTCTTTTCCTCTCTATCTTAGAACATAGTCTTAAAACATAGGTTATTTTTTCATGGCCTAGATGCAGTGCAAGGTGGGGCGACAACCCAAATGTGTGAATGCCAGTCCTCCACTTCTGTATCAGAATCCTAAAATCTCGTCCCAGGAGAAGGGCTTCTGGGAAAAACATCAAAACGATGGGAAACGGAGTAGGCCTAGAAAAGTAGATAACATTTCTAATCTCCCAAATCATTTTGGCTTAAGGGACAAATACCGGTACTTTGCCTGTTTGATGAGAGCCCGGTTTGAAGAACATAAGAATGAAAAGGATATGGTGAAGGCCACCCAGCTGCTGAGGGAGGCGGAGGAAGAATTCTGGCACAATCAGCATCCTCAGCCATACATCTTCCCTGAATCTCCTGGGGGCACCTCCTATGAGAGATACGAGTGTTACAAGGTAAGTTAGGACTATAGTGGTGGCACCTTCTGAGAGGTGGACTTTGTTTCTCCAGTTCCAAACTTGTCCTTTTAGGGGCAGCTAGAAGATTTCTTTCCTGACGGTTGTAGATACTTTTCTTCAGGTATCAGTTTTCCCTGTCCCAGATGACATTAAGACTTTTCTTTCTAAATTCAGCTCCAAGGCCTCACAGCATCTTTTTGGCAAACTAAAGTCATACATTACTTGTTAAATAACTCATCTTTGGATCTGAAAGAAAACCAGTTTGGATAGGTGCTTAGTATTTCTGGGAAACTCTAGGTAATACTTCCAAATAACAAGCCCACTCTGGATACTTAGAGAACGCAAGTCGGGGAGGGATGATACTAGTTCTTTTGTGGACTGACCTTTTATTTGTCAGCCCGAGGATCTTTTGCTCTAAGGCATTCTCCTTTATGTTGGTTCCTGCTTGTCCTCTGCTTTTCATTGCTTAGTGTCAGAAATAGTCTGATACTTGTGATGGTTATAAAAATACACCTTGAGTTTGGTCTTCTGTCACCTGAGCAGGCCCTATCAGTGGCATGTAAATGTTTCCTGTGGAATGACACCATGATTTCCTCTCCTGACAGGTTCCTGAGTGGTGCTTAGATTACTGGCATCCTTCTGAGAAGGCAATGTATCCTGATTACTTTGCCAAGAGGGAGCAGTGGAAGAAACTGCGGAGAGAAAGCTGGGAGCGAGAGGTGAGTCTTACCTGCATTTTGCCACATAGCTTGGCCCAGGTGGTCAGTACCTGGAAGGAGCTCAGGTTTTGTTCCCCACTGCAGCCGTCCAGAGTCCAGTCTGGCCCCTTGCCTCTCAGATATAGGTCACAATGTGTTCTCTTTCTTTGGTCTTTTGGGTTTTCTGGTCTCTAATTTTGCTTCTCCCCTCCTCCTCCTCCATCTTTTGCCTGACCACCTTGCCATACTGTACTATGCCTTAATCTTCCTCTCTACCAGTGCCTTGGACATTTTTCATTTTGTAATGTCCGATTTACATTTTTAAAAGTTCAATCTTGCTACAGTGTGAAGCATATATTGGAGAGGGTGCATTGAGAAGTGGAGAGATCAATTTGAGGGTATTGCAGTTTAGTCAAAAGATTGTGGCAGCCAGCACCAGGGTGGATGTAGTGAATATAGAGGGAAATAGATTCAGGATATCGTTTGGAGGGATATGAATATCGATTGGATGTGGGGGCAGGATGTGAGGGACTGGGAGGACTCAAGAATAATTTCCAGGTTTTACACTTTAATATTTGGAGTTTGGTGATAGTGTTTGAGGTACGGAAGACGGAGGGCAGGGAATGGGTATCAGGGACAATCAAGGGTTTGGTTTTACATGTGTTAAGGAATGTTAAATTTGAGAAACTTGTGAGGGATCAAATGCAGATGTCAGTAGGTGACTTTGGATATAGGAATCTGGACCTCAAAGGAGAGATTTGAGTTCAGAATAGGAATTTGTGAGTTAACAGTTGTTTTAAAAGCCACGGAAGTGGATGAGATCATACAAGAGAGTAGAGAGAGAAGAAAAGTCGCAGGAGCTCCCACTTGTAGAGATCAGGAAAAGGAGACAGAGGCACATCCAGCAAGGGGGAGGGGCAGTCAGGAGGGTGTGACAGAGTCCAGGAGAAAGTGTTTCGGGAATGGCCAGGGCTGAGTCACCTCTACTAAAAGTTGCTAAAAGGTGGAATAGAGTGAGCACTGGAATAATGTCCAAAGATTTTGGCTGCAGGAAGGGCATTAGTTGTCTTGACTAGAGAGCTTTTTCTGGAGGGATTAAGCACACCGATAACAGTGAACAGAAAGTGAGGAAGAGAATACAGGAGCGGGGAGGTAATTCTTGAGAAATTTTGCTGAGAACAGTAACTGGAGGCCAAACGATTATTTTCTATTAAGATGAGAAATAATGATGCATATATGCTGATTAGAAGATTTGAGGCGAGGGAGAAATTGGTAATGTTAATGAGAGATGGAAAGTTTTTGAGACAAGGCATGGGATCCTGACCGTGCGTGGAGGCCTTTGTCTCAGCATCTGGAAACTTGAGGTGGAGTTATTCATGGAGAGTAGGTTCATACTGCAGTTGATCCTTCCGGTAACCTCCTCTCCTCACAAAAACCTTCCTCCTTTTACTATTCTGTCTCTTCCGCATTAAACAGCACATGTGCTTAAGGCTCAGCTTAGCCACAATAGAGAACTGATTTTTCTGGAGGAGGATCTGCAAAGTAGGTCCCTCAGGTTTCCTCTTCTATTAGCACCATGATAGTCTTAGAGATCCCGGGAGCAAGCAGTTGTTGGGCAATATCAGGCAGAACTGAGCACATTTTTACATGTCATTTCATGTCATTTCTTGTCCTGGTTGTTAATTTGGGGGGCTTTAAAGTTAATATCCCTAACATATATGAATCGAGGTTTCTTACTGGTGCCTTTAGAGAACATTTGGCTGCAGCACATTGTACAGCTAGTTCAGGTCCTTTTCTAATCGTTCCTTCTTGACCCCTTCAGGTTAAGCAGCTGCAGGAGGAAACCCCGGTTGGTGGTCCCAGCACTGAAGCTTTGCCCCCGGCCCGAAGGGAAGGTGATTTGCCTCCACTGTGGTGGCATATTGTGACCAGGCCCCGGGAGCGGCCCATGTAGAAAAAAGAGAGGGAGACACCTCACCAGTCATGTTTGCAAGTGAAATATGTTACAGAAAATATACACACTTGCCCTAATAAAAAATAACTCAACATGGTATGACTGATGTGTTCTGTGGAGTAACATGCTGCCAAGTGATTGTGCCACTGTCTTAACAGTTTCCTTACCAGTCATACATGCAAAAGTATGTGAGATGTAGGTCAGGTGTGTTCTTTTCTTTCCTATTAAGTCATATCGATAGCACATTATCAGTAGGGGAAAATGATGCAGCAGAAGCAGATACAAGATTTACTCTGAAGATTGAGTTGAACAGACTCCAGTTGAAGACTCAGTTAGCTGCCATGTCTGGGAGGAACACAAAGCCCAGCAGAGAAGGTATGTTGATACTGACTTAAGACACTGTCTTGGTTTTCTAAAGGTGCCGCTGGTGGAATTTTAGTTTTGATTAAAGGGCAACTTTCTCTAAGAAGCACACATTCAACAAATAGTCTGCATTTATGAGGTTCTCTAAGGAGTGGAGCTTTGATAGTGAGATTGTGAAGGGTCCAATCTGGGATGAAACTCTTTTGTGACACTTATTTTGGAGGCAGTTTTCCAGCTTTGCTTCCGTAGCTTGGATGGTCTGCACACTCAAGGGTAAGGGTATAGCAGAATTCTTCAAATGTTGAAGAAGTTTCTTTAAAAGGTAAAGCCATTTCAAAAGCTGTCAGCCAGACCCAGCTACCTTTAGTTCTTGATAACTCTGCTACTGCATTGAAATAATTAGTTCAGGCAACTAGGGTTCTTGGGGCTCATTCATAATTATCACAAAAATAACGTTTTGTCAGTTTTCTAAGTAAGCTCAATCTGAGTCCAGTCCATCAAACATGTGATGAAGCCCTCCAACTGGATTTCAATAAGACTTGAAATACAGGACTTTTTTTTTTCCTAGTGGTTCTTTATTTATAATGTAGGCTGAAGCAATTGTTACAAGGTAGAAGGGAGACACATTACACAATTGTTATTTATACAAGTTTAGAACAAAAACCTGCACAGGGAGAGGTCAACTCTCAGTACAAACTAGCAACTAAACCACAATAATTACCTTTAGAAACGAGTTCTTTATTTTTAGCTGTGACACTGCTTTTACAATATGCAAAAACACAAACAGAACTACCCAAGGTGTTTTGTCACATTCTTTCTACACTGAATTTGGCAACATTTTATATTAAATTTCTTCAGATTATACTAACGTTTAAAAACTAAACAAGTGAAAAGCTGTACCAAGCAAGGTACAGTTACATCCATTTATTTCAAAGGTTTAAAATACCACTTTTATCTATTGTAATTACCTTGCAGTGATTTCTGCTTTTGCAAAAACCATCTCAAGCATCATATGCACAATGCATCAGCTACTTTTAGTCATCAAGATTGGTGGGCTAAACCACAGGCACTACTGTTGCTTATATTTTGTAAAAGGAGCTTGTTTTTCAAAGAAAAAAAAGCTTAAATAGTTTCTAATAATCATGCCTTTGCTTTAAAGCCATAACATAAAATGTCCTTGAGCAATCACAGCAGTGTTAAGTGTTAATATATAGAACAATGACTGTACAGGTACGTTACTCTCACATCCAACGCAGTTATGTATTAAAGCATAAGCTTATGTAATTGAGGATTATTTGAGCCAACAGAAATCTGCAGGGTCTGTGGGACCCACCAAGCTCCTATCCCTTGATAAGTTCAGTCACGAAGGAGCACTTTCCACTGACCCAACAGCTAAGGGGCTGGCTGGCTTTTTTAAACACCATCGTATTCTCCAAACATGAGCCCTCAAAATCTACAAATCTCTGTTGGCTTTGGGGGATGGGCATCATAACAAATTTAACTCTTACTTAAAGAAAAGATATAAATCCATCCCAAAAAACATTACCTAGAATACAAAAAAAGGGACAGTCTAGTGGTCAGATTCCCAGTGACAATAAATAAATCCTCCTCTCTTCAATGTTTTGGATGAAGCCAATTAAGAAAAACAAGCCCCCGGATCGGTAAACACATCGGCGAGTTGCGAGACTCCAAGCTGGTTACCCTTGTTAAATCCGCTTGAGTTTTTTCAAAATATTTGGGCTTTTCCATGCGCCCAGCCTGCTGGGCACAGTTAAGTAAAAGGCATTCGCTATATCTAAGGATTCCCTGCTGTCGTGTTTCAATGTCTTCACATTTTGAAACTGCCTTACCCTTTTGGATGTATTTGGATTTGATGAAAGTGGGTAGAACAGACCAGTAACTCAAGTGGGGGATTCTAGGTCTACCTGGTGGCAGCAGCATGCACGGGGTTGGAGGTGGGTGCTGTGTGCAGTCAAGAGGAATTGTGGGAGAAAGGAAGACCCTAAACACCCTACAGAAACAAACACTGCAGTCCAGTATGGCTTATTCGGATGCATTAACCATGAAGCTACGAGAAATTCAATCTACGAGGCTACTCTTAAATGTGACAGGATCGGCTATGTTGACAGTGTGCCCCTCCCATTGCCCTCCCCCCAATCCCAACACCGTCTACCATTTCCAGATTTACTTCACTCCGAATATTGCTCAATTGTTACTCCTGCTTTTCTCATTCAGAACATAGTATATTTAAATGAAGATTTTTTTTTAACCCTTATCCATTTTGTTTGTACATTAAAATAACTTGAACTTGCTTCTAAGCCAGACTACTATAATGCATCTAGAAAAGCTGGCAGGAAAAAAAGAGAAAAGAAAAGGCTAAGTATAGTTACCCATTTTTCTGAAATTAACTATTTTGTGGTTCCCCCACCCCGACCCCCCGCCCTTATGCATTTAAAATTTTACAAAGACTTGTAAAAAAGTTAAATGGAATTTGGCACCTTCAGAAAAATCAAAAGGGAGAACTAAGATTAAAATGTGCAGAAAGAAAACTGTCATATTTACAAATTAAAAGATCAAGGTTATGTCAGTTACGTATGTTGCTTTTAATTCTTATCTAAAGGTGTTGAGTACTTTCAAAAGAGCTGTATTCTGAGTTGCCTACAAAATCTGTTGTTTGATTATAGATTGGAATGGATCAAGACAAATTAGGTTTTATTAATGAAACAGTTCACTGCCCACTGGCAGCATTTCTTGTGAGCCTAAGAGAGCCTAAGAGAAGCGGGGTGCCGAGCGGTCGTTCGTCATGGTCTTCTTCAGTTTCACGCCCCTTCGGATGGCGTTCAGCATGTCTTCGCCCTGCGCGGCATCCCTCGGGCTCAGGTCTGCAGGGTCACTCTCCGGAATCCGGCCTGGGGAGGCAGTAGCACTGGAGGGATCCCTTTCCTGGTCTTCGGCCTCGCTTTCTGGAATCGCCTGTCTGTGCTCCTCAGGGATACTGGGCTTTGGGCCTGGAAGAGGGGGGTTGATGGAGGCTTGGCCACTCCACACTGAGGAGGGCATGCCGGTGACACCCTGGGGGCCCTCACCCACAGACGGCGACTCAGGAGTGTGCTCACCCCGCTCCTCCGGCCCATCCGAAGGGGCTGGCGACACCCCGGGGAGGTCTGGGACGGTTGGGGTCTTGACAGGGATCACGGGTGTCTTGATGGGGATGGGACCAGCTCCGATGGTCCCCCGGCGGACAGAAGGCTTCGTGGAAGGGGTCCGTCGAATGGTTGCAACCCCTGGGGTGACCATAGCAGGTCCGAGGGTGGTGGGGAGACCAGCAGTTGAGGCCGGGCGCTTGGCTTGGAACATCCGGCGGTAGGACTGGCTGATGTCACTGTTTCTCGGAATGGTGGAGGACTTGTCAAACTCCTGCTGATCTGCCTCCTGGTCCCCACTCACAGAGAAATAATCATAATCTGAAACTGATGACAGGATCTGGTCAGAAATCTCCAAGGCAGCAGCTCTGCTTTCTGACTCTTTGGTGTCGGGAGGACAAAAGGCACAAGGGTCAAGGTCCTTCACAGGCAATTTCATCCCAAGCTTTCCCCCAGGCTTCCATGCCATCTAAAAACTCCCTGGCAGGGACCCTAGTTCTGTTCGCTCATGTTGCCCTGGGCCGCGCAGCAGGCACGCACACAAATACGGTGGGGTGGTGACGAATGTAAACCTGCCGGGCTGAGGCGGAGCTACCTCTGAGCATCTCTGGGAGGAATAAAGGGGGTGAGAAAATTTCCACAACCCCTCTAGACCAGAATTCGACGCGAGAAACAAACCTCAAACAGACTGTCCCAGACCTCACCATCCCCCTAATTAACTCATCAGGTGAGGACTAGAAAATGAGCAGAGTGACTGGCAACGAGTCCATGACAACAAGGTGCAAAGCCGGTTCCATCAGTGAGGTGTGTTCACTGCCTCTCAGAAAAACAGGGCCACGGGGGACAGAGGGGCTACAGATCAAACATTTCAGCAGGTTCCTGAACGGCATCACTATTGCCATTTCGGGCCTGATAAATTCTTTGCTGTAGGCGGGGAAGGGGCTTTGCTGTGTATTTCAGGATGTTTAGCAGCATCCCTGGCCATCTACTGAAAGCCAGTAGCACCCTCTCAAGTTGTGACAGCCAAAAATGTCTCCAGACATTGCCAAATGACTCTAGGGCAGCAACATGGCCCTTCACTGGGACCTGTGTCTCAAAGGCTTTGACTGATGGACTGCAGACAGGCTTCGCCAACTATCAGAGATCTAGTCCAACTGTTAGGTGAGTGACGGCCTCAAGGCGCCATCTATGGCTAGTGTGTGTACAGGGGTGGGAGTGAGGGAGGCAGGGTTGATAGAGGATTTGGCCGGATTAAGAGATTGGGCTTTAGACTCTAACAGACCTTAGTTTTAAATTCCAGCTCTCCTCGTTCTTAGCTGTGTAAATGTGGGCGAGTCACCGAGCCTCAGCCTCCACGTATGTAAAATGGGGATGCAAATACTTATAACGTGAGCAGCTGTGAAGGTTAAATGGCAAAATAAAGTGCTCGGCACACGGTGCTAAAACACACATGCTGTCATCTTTAACAGCATCTGTCTGAATTCAAATTGGGAGGTACCCTGGACGCTGACTGCGAAAAACGAGAAGCTGCGAAAGTCCAGTCACTTCCTTAGACGGAAGCGACCTGACAATGGCTGGTCAACTCTCCAAAGCATTCCAAGATGACGAAGATGGTCCTGGAGCGGTCTACTGGCCAGGGCTCCTGCTGTGGCTAAACAGACGCCACTCTTCCGCCCCTGCCAGCAGGGAGGGCCACCCCTTTTCCTCACCTGGCACCTGCTCAGGAAGCCCAAGTGGACACCCCGGCTGCCTCGTACCTTGGGAGGGAATGGTGTCCTCGGAGCAGCATGGGGTGGTCGTCTGGGTGCTGTAGCCGCTGGAGCACTGCAGCGAGTCCCGGCTGCTCCTCTGGGTGTCAAGCTGGAGGCCCCGTGACAGAGCCAGGGCCAGTTCCTCACAAGCCTCCATCTCCTCGCCAGGCTGCAGGGTGGAGGAAAAAGAGACACAGACAAGCCACCAGGGCCATGAACCTCCTGTCCGATATCCCCAGAGCCTTTCCACACACCTCCTCCAGCGGGGGCCTCAACATGACTCCTGTTCCTGTCCCATGACCAGCACCTGTCTGTGGGCCCAGGGGCTATCAGCTGGGGTCCTACCCAGGCTCTAGAGTTCTATGAGTCTGATTACTATATATGGCTTTTGCTTGTAAATCAGGGAGTGGGGGAAAGGGGCTCCGGTCTCTCCAGCTGCAAGGCTGACTCAGCCCCCACTTGCTGCCTAGCATATGGCCACCAGCCAGGTCTACAGGGGCCCAACCAGCTGTAGAGAACAAGAGCGTCACCCTGGTGGCAGCCGACACGGTCATGCTCCGCGGTCTCTGAGCCTCGTCGGCAGCAGCAGGCGCGCCACCTGTGGCCGTGGGTCCCCCTCCGCTGGGGTCTGGCTCCCGCTTCTCCTTGCGGCGCTGGAGGGTGTTCACCAGAGGCTGGTCATAAGGTCCTGGCTTGGCCCAGTCCTAAGCAGGACAAGCGTGGTCAGGCACCAGGGCCTCCACCTCCCTGTGGAGGGTTGCGGACCCCCAGACAGCTGCCCACAGAGGGCAGGGGTCCCCTCAGGGGAAGCTAAGGCTGAGACAGGCCAGTAGGCCCCTGCTGTGCCCTCACCTGGCCCTAAAGGGAGTGAAAAACCCTTTGGGGACCCCCTTGTCGTGGGACCTCCCTTTTCCTCACATCCACCCAAAGCTTAAAAACCCTCAACAACCAGGCAGAGAGCCTGGCAGACTCTTAGTTAACAGCTGACCAGCTGTCTAAGGTGTATGAAGGCACCACCAGGTGGGGGTCGTGTCCCCAGGGACGTGGCCCTCCCCACGGCTGAAGGGACCCTCTCTCTGCTGGCAGCCCAGTGGACCTCACTTTACTGGCATAGCCACCAGGGGGCACTAAAGGAACTGCAGCCACCCTCCCTGAGGCCGAACTTCCACCTGGGGAAACTGACATCCAAAGGGCACTTCAGGAAGTGCCCCCTGATGTCCTCACACAGGAAGGGGACGCCCCGGGCTCGGCAGGAGGATCCTGAGGAGTCTGAGGGGTCCACATCACTTGTGAGGGATGAAGTCAAGCCCTGTTCAAAATGCTGGCATCCTCGGGGCCTACTCTTCAAATTTGGGGCTACCTCTCAAAATAGAGGAGAATATCCTCCTGCCATCAACTGGACTTGCTAGGAAATAATTTCAAAACTTTGTTTTTATATTAAAGCAAACGTGTTTTAATCTAAAACAACTGAGACTGAAAATCAAGTCTGGGTGTACTTTTAAAATAACACATGGTAAGTCAAAAGGTATTCGGGGTTATAGTGCTGTCACCATGGTCTGCTAAGGGCCTCAGGGGAAAAGCCGGGGGGAACATGGCTGAGGAGGGCAGTCCCTCCCAAACTGATAACAGTGACACCCCCAGGAGCCTCCTAGGAGGGCAGAACTGGGACTGTGAACTTGGAACTGATGTCCCTGCAAAGCCACATCTGGTTGTCCTGTCTAATGGGGTTAACAAATCTTCCCTAGTGGGCACCTCTCCAGTCTCAGCTCCTGGTGGAAATGTCTATCTCGGAGCGGCCGACTGCGTTTTGGTCCTCCCCAGTGGGAATTTACTTAGGGAGAGGTGTTATGGGGAAGAAGGAAGAGTGTGAAGGGAAGGGGGTGAGGGGGGACCAGGGTGAAGATCGTGGGACAGAAGGGGTGAGCACAGAGGCAATGAGAGAGGGGAGAGGGGAGAGGAGGGAGGAGGGAGGAGGGAGGAGGGAGGAGAGACACAAACCTTCCAGCTAGGGATCTGAGATGACGGGAACATGCCGGGCCCAATGGTGTAATAATGAGCGTAGTCTGGAAGGTGGACAGAGGTGACCCGAGGGAGCAGGCGGGAGGCAGGCAGGCAATGAGGGAAAAGGTTTGCCCCCATGGGCCCCACGTGGGGCTCACTTGATAAACTATAGTGAGAAAACCCATTAGACAACTGGAAACAAAACAAAAAGGGGGGGGAAAGGAAAAAATTAATACAACAGGATGAGTGCGGAGATACACGATGGCATTGACATTCGAGGGAGGGGAGACCTGAATGTTTATCATAAACAAACACAGGGCTCTGCCGCTTGCGGATGATCCATGATGCACGAGGAGAATGCGCATTTACTCGACCCCGAGTAAGTACGCAGTCAAGAAAATATTTCATCTACATTTTAGAATAATTTGGAAATGGAACACTGTCCGTAATTTGTCAAGTTCTCAATGGTTTTTGGGTATTTAAATAAAGCATCGCTTCATGGTGATAGTGATTTGCTCGTGTCATTATGCAAATTTTAAAATTCTAAAGCGTCTTCGACGGAATCTGTTCGTTCTAGGTTTCCAAAATCATCACGCTGTTCAGAAGGAGATTCCAAATCGGGGTGAGGAACGGGGGTTTGCAAACTAAAAGGTAGAAAAGCACACAGCCTCTGACACAGTAAAGTGTCACGTCCAACGGGATGGTGACGAGGAGGCCACAGTAGGTGGGGTGCTTGGGAGTGGAAGTGGGGAGATGGATGAGCACACAACACTTCTGGGAAGAAGCCTTCACACCTCCAAGTTCCCCATAGCCCTTCTTCTCCCTTGGGACGACCTCAAGGTCATTGCTTAGAGCCACACACCCACTCAAGAAAAAGCCCTCAGACTTGTCCACCCTAACCCCTATCTTGGTGTAGATTCTGAGCTTCCAGGTTCCTGTGGCTGTGACACTGGCGGCAGGCAGGGGAGGGGTGGGGAGCGGTGGAGCCACCACGCCTGGGACCCAGCCGGTCACCTTCTCTGTGGAGGCCCAGGCGCCCATGGTGGAGCCTGAGCTGACTGAGGTGGGCGAGCTGCACTCGCTCACTGACTGGCAGGTTTCAGAGGCTTCCGAGGAGGCCGAGCTAGATGAGTTCTGCAGCGGGCGGGGTGGGGACCACACGAGGGGACCAACAAAATCCAGACCACACGCCACCAAAAAATAACCGGAAATGAAAAATGAAAGATGGGGCGGGGAAGGGCACGCACAGAGAGAAAGAGACAGACAAACACATACACAGAAGAGGGAAGGATGAGAGAAGCAGAGTGTTAGGGTTATTTCTTTCCCCAAAGCTGCACCCACGCAGAAGCTCTCAAGCCCTTGAAAAGAAGGGCGAGACCCAGCAAGGTCCAGACCTCTGGACTGTAAGCCCCCCGGGACCCCAATCTGTGTGTGTCTAGTCCTGTGCTGGCACATGGCAGGTGCGCGAAATCACTGAATGGATGGGTGGCAATGGCCAGCCCTTCCATGTAAACTGGGTCCCCCCAGATGGTGCCTTGGGCCCACCTAGGTATCTGCTTTAAGTTTATTTCACTGTTAACTGCGACCTCTGGCTCATCCCATTTGTTTCATAAGGCTAGCCCTGTTGGGGTCGATGATGTCCCTGGAATTGTCCCTGGAATTGTCCCTATTTTCACTGTCCAGGAGGCTGGATTTGTGTTTCTGTCCACCCCTTTCAGCCACCAAAGAAAGAAAGGTCCCTACAAAAAGACAGAGCTCTAGATTCCCATCCTGCAGGGCCAAGGAACCCAGGGGACACTCCACACAGTGACCGGGGCTCCATGAAGTCCAAGCAAGAACAGGCTACATGGTGGACGCCTGGCTGCTCCCTGAGCTCAGTGTCTGCTTCGCAGTTCAAAATCCGAAGTTACGGATTGGATTTAAAGTTTGGATTTAAGTTCTGTTTCTGCCACTTCTCAGTCAGGAACCACGTGCTCACTCTCTCTAAACCTCAATTATTTTGTAGATTTTATATGTATACGTGTGTCTATGTCTGCGATGCTCAGTCAAGAATAAAGAAAAGTCAGCTGTCACTATCATCTACCAGGACTGTTTGTTTTGGCTCCTCTAACTCAAGCATGTTGAATTTGAGAAAAGGACCAGCGAACCACCCCAGGACCGCAGGTTCGTACGTCTTTTGACTTCTGCTCATCTTCCCTAAAGAACGCCTTGCCCTGATGGAGCCAATGGTGCCTAGAACAAGACCTGGGCCCACGTGGGCGAAGGCCCAATCTGAAAAGAGCAGAGGGGAGGAAAATGGGAGAATTCCGAGCAGACCGTCGCTTGGCGTTCATTTCTACCTGGTGTGGCTAAGTGGAAAAATGAAGGGGTCCTGCCCCTCGTAGATGTGTGGTCCCTTCCTCCCGCCCTAAACAAAGGTGATATTCCTGCCATTGGGAGATTGTATCCCCTGGCTTATGTGATTTGTGCAATTTCCTTAAATTTCCCCTCTCCCTTATAATTATAAGCAGCTATAACTTTTTTTTTTTTTTTTTTAAGATACTTCTATGAAATTCTGCAGCATCCCGAGCTTATTAAAACTACCCTAGAGCTCCTAGCCAAGCGCATCTTGGGCAGAGGCTCTCAGGTTTAAGGAGATCGCACCACGCCCCCTTCCGCCTCCCTCATCGGCCCTGCAGGCAGAAACGCTCGACCCAGCCTGATCCACACACAGACTTTGACGGGAGGGCAGAAGCGGCAGCCTGTCTTTTTTTAGAAAGGGTGTCAGTGTGCAAGACTCGGTTAATTTGTCAGTTGATTAGAAACACACGCAGAAGTATGCTGCACGTTAGGAGCCAATCCCTGCTCTCCTTCTAATCATTCACACTCCGCTTGGGAGACACGCAGGTGTAGTTGAGTGCTGCACATGGTGGGGACGGACAGGGGACAGGGGGGTGACGCCTTAGAGACCAAGCCAAAGCACCCCAGCTGGGACAAGCACATTAAGCGGAAAGCCGCAGCTCTTGGCCTAGAGCATTTCCGTCTGAAATTGAGTCTCCCAGAGAGACAGAGAGAGGCCACAGTCTCCTGAAAAACGCCAAAGGGGGCAGGGAGCCCCGAGCGGCTCTGGTTCACCAACATCGACACGTCGGGCAAGGAACCTCCTGGTCTCGGCTCCCCAAACGCCTCAGCTGCTTCTTCCACAGGAAGTGCTCCCCAAAACACTCTCCCAGAGGCACGTTATGGCCGAGACAGAGCAGAAAGGGCTCTGGACCAGGTGTCAGAAGAAACCCTTGGTTCAGGTCCTCGACCTGCACGTCACATAATTGTGCTACTCAGGCAAGTCACTTACATCTCTGAGCCTCTGTTTCTGCAACAGAATGGGATGACAATACTCCACGTGGTCGTTGGAAGGACTACACAGATAAGATATGCAGGAGGGCCTGGGATGGGGCCTGGCAACAGCAGATACTCAGTGACTGTTAGGCGAACTGGATACTTGGATAAACAAGACAAGCACGTGACCTGAGTCCACAGGATCTTGGGCCAAAGGCTGTGGTCAGCCTCAAAACGGCCACCACGCTCACCAGCAGCTGGCGCTGTGAGGGCATCCCGGATGTGCGGGTTTCCTGCTGTGTACGTGCTGTGCTGCTCACTGAATACGGCCAGCCCACTGGCACTAGGGAAGAGGGGACAGAGAGGGGAGCCCAGGAAGGATGTTCTGACGCCTGGCCCGGTTCCCGCCTTCTGCTCTGGCGGAACCCGCTGGGCTGGACTGGGCCTGGCCCCACTTAACCCAACACCCGCTTCTCCCAGAAGCAGAGCACCGACACAATCAGCTGCACGGGGTCTGCTGACTCACTCTCGTTCTCAACCCAAATTGATAAAAGGAACTCAAGAGCGACAAGGAAGCTGTTCCATGGCAGAATCTCCACCACGCGGAGAGAACCAGAGGTGGGGAGGGTGTCACCAATGTGCAAATGCCCACTGATTACAGCGTCAGCGTCATGCTAAGCCGGGCACTTCCTGGGATGCCAGACAGTGGCCGAACCTCTTTGAGTCTGTCCGCTAAAGTGTGAGAACTCCCCAATTCGGTGATGACTCAACCAGCACCACCACGAACACAAGCCGCTACCCCACCTGATAGTAGTATCACTGCCCCGGGGGAAAAAAACAGAACTAAAGGTGAGAAATTAAACCAGAGGTCTCTCCTGTCAGATGACAGAGGTCTCCAAGCCACGGTCCTTCTGTGGTTCCAGCCGTCGACGTGGGGCTGGGCACCAGGCCGACAGCGGCTCCTGCAGCCAAGGACAGGCACCCTTACCTGGTTGGGGGCCTCTGGTGGCATGGGGGATGGTGACTTGGACTGGAAGGCGTCCTGGGATATGAATCCTGAGTCGTGGGAGGACACGCTGGACAGCCGCACGGGCGCCTGCTGGGCCAGGTTGGAGCTGCGGCAGCGGTAGTGTGAGCTGGGGGAATGTGAGTGCGAGCCGCTGGACCGCGAGTCGCTGCTGTTGACGCTGTTCAGGCTGCTGTGGGGACAAGCAGAGTGCGGGCGGCACGGGGGTCAGGCGAAGGGGGGAGCAGACAAGGGGCAGAAGGAGGAGGACGATGCAGTGCCGTCCGCATCCTGCCTCGGAGAAGCGGCGCGAACGGTGAGATGTGTTTTAAAATGCCAGACTATTAAGCTAGTAAACAAAAGGTGTTGTTTTTTTTTTCCTATGTGAACAAAGGGGAAAAAACCAGCTGCCAGGATGCAGTTCTCTGATGGTGCAATGAGGTGTCCTCAGGATGGAGGCCTGTGATTCTAAAGGGTCAAGTGCTGCCCAATTCTGCTAGGTCATCAACCACCAATGCTAGGGGACTTGATGTCTTTGGCAGGAAAAGAGATGGGGCTGATCTTATCTGTCAATCTTCTCGCAGAAACCATGGCTCTAGAGCAAAACCCACAAAGGCTTCAGTGTGACCTGGATGGAAGGTGCAAGTGTCGCCCTTGGTTGGACCATCTGGGTCCAAGAGGCTTAAATCAACTCAGCCAACCATCGCAGTGTTGGTAGAGGCACCAACAGACATCTCAAGGTGATTTCATCCTAGGTGAGCCTGGTTCAAGGCCACCGTGAAGAACATCAGCTCAATGTATCTCTGCCAGTGTCTTGTTTTTTATTAACAAAGTTGATGCTTTAATGAATGGCTTTAACCTGGTCACAACTGTTTGTTTCTCTGTTAAAATATCTGTGGGCCTGGTGTTAACAGCACCCCTGGGACAAAAGGCAGGCAGCTCTGCCTGACTGAAGTCAAGCAAAGCTAAGCCATTTGCTTCCGAGAATAAACAGTAAACAGAACGTTGAAAAATGATACATACACTTTGAGTGTTCTGTCTACATCCATTTCCAGTCATAAGAAACATGCTCTACCCTCTGTGTAGTAACTCAGACCACGAGAACCAGAACAAAGGGCAGCTGCAGAAGCATCGCAAGGGGGGAAACAAACAACCCACCTTGGGGCTAGAAAGGTTATGGTTTCTGCTCCTGATCCTGTAAGAGAGTCTTGTCAAATTTTGCAAATTCTGACAGCTAAGAAGGTGGACAGGGCTCTGTGGCTGTTCTATACTGGAACTGCTCGGTGTGCATGTCCCGACAGACACAGGGGACATCGCTGCGGAGGAAATCACTGCAGCTGCAGATACTTATCACAAGTTGTGCCTTCCGCTCCCATCAGCCAGACAAGGGCATCTGGGCACTGATGCTGAAGCCACTACAACTCCACTCCAGCAAGCTCACGGCTGATGCTGTCAGCGCAACAGAATTTCCTTCTGAAACTAAAACTATAAGAAGGAAAAAATACTCATGCAGCTTTGCTTTATGCTAATGAGACAAAGTTTCTTTGGGTATCAGCAAAACAAAATGAAATACCAGCAAGAGATACATCATATACACACCCACAGACACAAGGATGACATGAGACCAACAGTACTTTTAGGGTGTAGAAGGTCAGGATGTAGCACCTCAGCTCTGAAATTCTTGCTCAGTGTCTACTGTACAAACTCAGATGTGAAACACACACAAGTGTGTTCAGAGACATAACCACACACAGATTCGGCAGACCCATCCTGCTCTTTGTGTCAATGCTAATTCACAGGAAGCGGAAATCCATTTGGCTTGGAAACGTCGAAGGAGGACATCATTAAGTCGCGTGTACAGAGAAAGATAAGTGCTGCATAATGAGATGTCCATCCTTCAAGGACAGGACAGACTTTGCGGCCAGCAAGCCAAGAATGGTCTTCTAACAGAAAACTTCTAGAAAACAGTCTTGCAGCTAGCAGAATTATTCCAGCTGGTTCTGTGTGTCAGGAACAGTACTAGCTAGGAGTGGTGGTGGTGGAGGTGGGTGACAGACCTAGGATTCCATTTACTTTATGAAACCCCGAGACAAAAACTGAGGGAAACGGATCATGAGCCACTGTCATTTCCTCCGTTTGTTTTGGCAGTGGCGTGATCGGTCTGGACAAGAGAAGGAACACCAAACGCGAATTCAGAAAGCGTGAAGATCCCTGCAGCTGCGAGAGAGCAAGCCCCAGCCACCAGTCGAAGGCCTGGTAGGGTTTTCCTTCTGACCTGGAACTAATCCGGAGACTAAAGAGTGAGACCACGATCATATGGAGTCTTTTCCGCTGACCATATCAGCATTTCCTGTTTAAAGTGAGCCATTCTAAGAGGTAAAGACTGGGCTATGGCTCACGCCCGCAGAAAGACGGAGGGATGCCTCGTCCGAAAGCAGGGGCAGAGCTGGCTTCACTTACCTGCAGACACTTGACTTGCGGGACATGGTGGTGCTGGGGGAAGAGGGTGGCGTCTGGTACGACCAACTGTAATCAGAACCTTTCAAGTCCAAAATCACCTGAGGGGACAGAGCCAGGTGGGTAAGCGAGGTGCTGAGAAGGGAAACATGGGCCATCAAATCTTAAAATCCGTAATACCAAAGTTCTACCACCATTGAGAAAGGGGGATTTTAAAAAAAAATGTGTGTGTGTGTTTTAATTAAAGAACCACACTACTAATTCATTAATGTCATAAAACATTTTTTTCTGAGGTAAGTAAAAATGTAATTAATTGGGGTGAGGGGGAAACATGAAATGTCATTCAAAAAAGAGAGGGAGAGGGAGATTTACAGTGACAGATAAACAATTCACGAGAGCCAATTACACCCAAGGCTAGAATTTACAGGATTTTTGTCTTATAGACACAAAGACAATAATGGTTTCAGGATTTGCTGATCTCACATTTTAGCCATTTGATCTGCAATGATCACTTGTGCCCTATTTGACCAGGATTTGATATTTTAAAATGTAACAGAATCAAGAGCAAATCAATTGTTTTATGGTCACTTCTGCACCTGTCTTCCTTGCTTGACAAAGAAGTACTTGAGTGTAAGGCCTACCTTTCACTCATATAGTAGGTGATCAATAAATGTCGATTTACGGAGTGAATGCATGCATGCTGTGGTCTAATAAAAGCAATTTCATAGAACGGAAAATATGAGCTCTCCAATTTGTCTCCTGCGCTGGCTCTCGAAAGAGGCAATATGAATTTTATACGAAGGGCAAAAGCCAACATGTGATTCATCAGCCATCCCCTCAAATATGTCCCTTCCCCCTTGATACAGTGTTAATGTCCCATGAACCAAATGAAGAAGCACTAACAAAAGTAATGTTTTTCATAAGTTAAGCAGAATTCTCATGCATTACTTAATTAGAACGGTTGACAATAATGACCAAGGTACACCACCGTCAGGTCCCTGCAAGAACGTATTTCTAGAGGGTAGAAGGACAAAGTGGTTAGAACACAGGCTCTGGAAACTGCCTGTTTCGAATCCTAGTTCTGCTGCTAGGTAGCTAAGTGATCGGGTGAAGTGACTGCTCGGTGCCTCAGTGTCATCTCTGTCAAATGGGGTGATAGCGAAGATCCGCTGCGAAAGAGCTTCGAACGATGCCTGGCCCACAGCGCGCATCACCCACGAGGAATGCTACATATCACAGCGTGAGACACGACAGCGATTCGGAATGCGATCGTGCCTCGAGGAACCCTTGGGATCCTGAACCTCACCTCCTGGGTTTGCTCTCCTGAGTGCTCAACCCCCGACTCCTACCTGTTCACTTGAGGAGGGCAGTTTGTGAGGGTCCATGGTCAGGCTTTTCAGATCTTCTGATATGGTCTGAAGGTGAGTTATTTCCCCCAGCATTGAGATTTCTTCTTCCTGAAGGACAGTAATTCACAACATGTTTTCATCATGAGTGATTCACTTCACTGCCTGGGTCTGACTGTTTTTGTTAGGGTCACTGTTTAACCCCTTTGACTTTCAGAACTGGTGCGTCCTTGCTGAAGGCACTATCAGCCCTTTCTTTTGGGAAATGCAAGGGACAAAGAAACCTGCCCTTATCATGGAGTGACCTGTGTTTCCTGGACAGTGGCAAACCAAAGCCAGAGCGAACGTGTGGCCCTTCCCTGCAGTGTCTGGGGGGCTAGCAGGTTGGCTCGGATGGTCCGCCTGTGTGTTCTCACACTGCTGCAGCAGAGCCCCCTCCGCGGGCTGAGGCTCTCCTCTGAAGTCATTCAGCTTCAAGAGATGACACGATTTGGAGATATTTTGGTCCAGATCTGATAGATCTTTGAGACAGCACGTGTGTTCAATAGAGATTAACTGCTCCCCTGCCCCCCACTTTCTTTCTTGTTTTTTTTCCCACCGGCTTAATAAATGGCGAGCGGCAGGAAGAGGGAACGACGGAAGAAACTGTCATTCGCTTTACCAAACTGCAGAGCTGGGGCTGTGGCCCCGGCAAGGAGGGCCCACGGAAAAGCACTGCGCTCAGGGGAACAACTCACACTCGGGCACTTTGCCGGGGTGGAGGGAGGTGAGCTGCTGTCTTCATATCGGCTTTAAGGAGGTCCCCGGCAGAAGTTCTCAATTACGGTATGCAAACGATTTACTTAAAAATTAAACCGGATTTGATTCATCGAGGTTCTTCCCATATTCGTCTCACAGTCACTCCCTGGTATTCAGCTTGGCCAGTGGGTCTCAAAGTCACCAGGAGGGCTTATTTCAAACACAGGTGACCGGGTCCCCATCCCCAGAGTTTGGCATTCAGTAGGTGTGAATTGGGCTGGAGACTGCATTCCTAAGCAGTCCTGGGCTAGGAAGCATACCTTGAGAACCACTCTGCTAGGCCCTCTTCGTTTGGGGAGAAAAATGGAGCAACTGGCACTAAGAACCGTGAACAAGCAGTGGGCCAGGCAGCCACCAGCAACTCGCAGAGCAGCGCTGGCCCAGAGAAGTGCTTAACAGATCATGATTCCTGTCATGATTCCTGACACAGCAGATTCCCAGTGACTCGACGACGGACAGATAAATAAAGGAGGTAAATAAATAAGGAAAGTCTCCTCTAAACTGGCCCTTCTGGACTTCTGGAATGTTCCACTAACTTACAATCACCGGCCGCAGCATTGAGATGAAGGTGCAGAACCGACCGCGTTCTTCAATCAAAGCCTTCCGGACCGCTTGCTTTTCTGTTTCCTCCAACAACAGGTATTTATCGTTGACGTCTTGGAGGGCGCTGTCCAACTGGGGCTGGATGTCACCTCTCCCTGCAAACAGAACAGAGACCCAAGTGTGGCTTGCTGAAACACCAGCTGCTCAACGAACCGCCCCTCTTCCCTGGGCTCCTTGCTGGAGCGGAAACCACAATTTTCTGAGCTTAAAAACGTTATTTATTTATACTCAGAGAGGATTTAAGGTGGCTGTGTTTCTAGGACCAGCCATTTCCAATTTCCAGTGCCTGAAGGGCACACTGATCCTGGTTTATTCCTGACAAGAAAGATTCCCTGGGGTGACTCCTTCCGACTTGCCTTCTGCCAACAAAACCCCAGGACGTGGCAGTCAGACCGTATTCTTTCCTCGTAGAAGATTCTGTAGAGGCTAAGGGATAGATGAGCTGAAGGCCTGTGGATGGCTCCAAAAACAGACGTGAGCTAGCTTTGCTGGGTCAGCCTCAATCAAAGAGCCTCTGTTTAGACAGAAGTTTCTGTCCCTGAAGACAACGGTGGCAAGTGTCAGCTCTCCTGGCTCTGCAGGGGCCCTGGCACTCCTGGAAGTTAGTTTAATTCTCAGCAGAGAGTCCTGACTGCTCTTCCTATAAAACAAGGCCAGCAATAAAACCTACAGCAGACGTCCTGAAACCCGAGGGTGGAGTCAAGGGGCCAGGCCCACAGACCCCCGTTATGGGGAGACAACCATTTCTAGAGTTTAAGGTAGGGTGTTAACCTTTTAGATAGCTCTGGACCTTGCTCAGCAAACTGTCTCACAATGAGGCTTTTACGAGAACACCCCGCACCCACCCTCTGTGCACCGGCCGCACCTGTGTTGCTACGAAAGCAGAGTCGCTGGGTTGAGGACTCTCCGCCCGGGACTGGGAGCACTTACAGTCGGGCCCTTTAGAGAAAAGCCCGCTGTGCTAGAAGGTAAACACGGGCAAACAGGCCGCGTCGGAGGGAACGGCGACTGCAAAGCTGATCTGCGGGTGGGGACGAGAGGGTGACCACCTGGGACACCGGCTCGTGGGCTTCCATGCTAGGATCTCGTCACTGAGCCAGAGGATGGGTTCTAAGCTCCTTCGAGGCAGGCACTGGGACTCGGCGAGGCCCGCCCCCGGCACGATGACCAGCATATGCAGCAAGTGCTCAGTACGTGTTCAATTGTTTCATACACAGAATATTAGCGATGGACGGTCATCCAAGCCTAGCTGCTCGTGTTCTAGTAGGGGCCAAGGCCGAAAGAGGGTGAGGGCCGTGTCCAGGGTCAGTCAGGGAAATGCAGAAAGCCAGGGCGGAGCCCACATAGCCTGATCCCACCGTCCCGTCTTCTCCCTGCCTCCTCGAGCTGACGAATGAATCCCACCCGCCTCCTACAAAGGCGTCTGGCCGGTCGCCATTTACCCCTCCTAAGAATCACACAGAGAACTTCGAATGCAACACATCGTTTGGTTTGAAAAAGAAAAAGATCGGGGAAAATTGCCTTGAATGTAGGAATATGTTCCGTATTTCCTTTCATAAGCAGATGAGAAAGCTTAATGTGGAGCAAGAGGCCAGACCTCAAGAACAGCTCAACAGAAGAGGTCGTTGGATTTTATTAGGGAAAAGTCATTTCTGAGGCAAGGATTAAGTTCTAAGGTTGCATTAAGGGAAAATCGTATGGGGTTAAAGGTCATGCTTGAAAATGCCTTAGAGGGCTCATAAAGTACAGTAAACACTCTGAATGTATAATGCATTAGTCAGGTGAGAACACGTGCAGGATGAGGACAATGAGCAGCACTGAGTTCCATGGAGGGGTTCCATCCAACAATCACGTCAAGTAAGAATTTGCCGTTCGGGAAGTTTCCCTGTATTTTCAAGGTGACCCTTTCACCCGTTCCTCCATTTAGTCACCACCTCTAGATAATCCTAGCAGTTCCTCTGTTCTCCATT